ACTTTGAGGAGATCCGGGCTCAGCAAGGGGCAAACCACCAGGCCTGACGGCCAAGGACAGACCCAGGGCCCAGGCTGTGGAGGGCTGCGCCCATGGCGTGCTTGTGGGAGGCGATGACCTTGGGATGAGTTAAAAAAAGAAATTATTGCCCTCCCTGGTGGCGCAGCGGGTTAAAGCACTGCACTGAGAAACTAAAGCCACTTCCGCATGAGTTCGATCCCCGCCTGCCCCGGAGGTGACCACATGGCGTGGCAGACCTCTCCTGACCCGCCCGCTGCTCCCCTCAGCAGTGTACTTCGTGGATCTGCCTGTTCTGCTCCCCACTCTGTCTCTGGTGAATCCTCTCACCCTCCGCATCTCTGGCCTGTACCCCAGTTCTGTATGAATAAATAAATAAATCTTAAAAAAAAAAAAAAGAAATTATTTTTCAGGTCAGTTTAGAAAAGCAGAAAACAATGATTAAATAAAAAATAGCAAACAAAACACGCCCATAATGCTCCTCCTCAAAGAAAGACCACTGCAGGTTTTGGTGTCTTTGGGTACATGTATAATTTTACAAGTGCGCAGGTGAGATTTTTTTCCCATGCAAAGAATGGGCTCTTACTCAGCTATAAAGAGATGAAACCTTGCCACCTGCCACGACGCCATGGATGGCAGTGGCGGGGATTATGCAAAGTGAAGTAAGTCAGGAGGAGGAAGGCAACTTCTGGATGACTTCACTCATCTGCGGGAAATAGGAGAACAAAACAGAGGAACAGCCGAAGCTAAATCAAAACAAATCTGAGAAATCTGGCTGCAGAACTGAGGCCCCCAGAAGGGGAGGGTGGGCGTGGGAAGCCATGGGGGACGGGGCCCCATGGTCTGGGGTGAAGGCTGCTGTTGCTTTGCTGCTGGGTGGTGACATACATGTGAGGAGGTGTGAACCTACTGCCCTAAATCGTAAGCATCAAAAAACCCAAAAAGGCAGAGAGAATGGGTTCTTCCAGAAGGTACTACCTATTTGCTGAAAGCCACGTGTGCAGTTCGGGGGTCGGCCGCAGAGCCTTGGGGACGTGCTGCTTTTTATTGCCTGTGGCCCCTGGCCTTGGACACAGAGGTGTCTGCCATTGTTCAGTAGAATAAACAAGCAGGGGTGGACCAGACGAGTCATCACCCCCCTCAGAGAAGCCCTCCCTGTCCCCAAAGCCTGGACACCCTGGGTCTCTAGGGCTTCTCCCTGTTCATAGCTGACCCCAAGTGTCAGCCTCCGGCTAGACGATACGCTGAGCTGGGCCAGGCAGATCGTTGTCTCACAGCAGCTAAGAGGTAATCGTAGCTACATTAGCTCACTGGGTTTACCCGAACCTGCGGGATGTTAGCAGGGAGCACCTTGGGTCAAGACTCAGTGGTGAGGAGAGGGAGGAGAGGGAGCAAAGGGCAGGGGTGGGGGTGGGGTGGGGTCAAGCTGCCTGTCTCAGCTGGGCCCCCGCCCAGCACTTAGGTTGGAATTCCCTCTAGGTTGCTCCAAGTTGAACCTCCACACCCCACACCATCAAGTTAACTGGATCGAGCTCTCCCTGGTGGTGCAACGGGTTAGGACGCAGCACTGCAAGCTGGCCACAGCCACCACAGTGCCAGTTCAATCTCCCAGCCCTGGAGCTGACCCACATGGCCCGGCAGACCTCTCCTGACCCGCCCGCTGCTCCCCTCAGCAGTGTACTTCATCAGTCGGCCTGTTCTGCTCCCCACTCTGTCTCCGGTGAATCCTCTCAGCACCCCTGCATGTCTGGCCTGCACCCCAGTTCTGTATGCACAAATAAATCTTTTTTTTAAAAAAAGAGTAATTGGATCAACCTCTGCCAGCCCCCCAGGGGAGTGATTTGATGAGCTGGTTCTCTCCAGCCAAGGTTCTTTCCAGAGGAGAGGATGGGGTGAGGGAGGGCTGTCTGCGGGAGCTGGCCCTGCGGGGGACCTGGGTGGTGGGTCCCTGCACCCCCTTGATGAGCACTAGACACGAAGACTCCTGTTGTCACAGCCCCTCGGGGAGGCGGACACCTGCTTTATTCTTACAGATGAGGAAAGAGGGGCTTAGAGACTCAGGAGCTGCTCCCGCTTGCGGGGTGGGGGGCAGGGGGGTTCAGAGGTGGTGCTGAGCCCGGCTGGCCCCAACACCGGAGTCTCTGAATGGCGTGCCAAGCCGCCCTGCAGGGACAGAGCGGACACGGTGAACCGCCATGACTGCACACCTCTGTTTTCCGAAGATGGAGCCTCAGTGGTGCTGACCACAGCCGCGGCGAGGGCCCCGTGCTCCCCAATCTCCATCGCTGAGGGGGATGAGGTCACTCTGCTTTCCGTCCTGTCACCTTGCTTCCTGGATCCCAGTGCTCCCGGTCATGCTGACAGTGACTGGGGGTTTCTAAGTCTCCTGCAGTTGTCCCCATTCATTTGAAACGCTCCCCCCCCCACCCCCCCACACCTGCCACCCCACATGCTCTCCTGGAGGCAACCTCTCCAGCACTCTCCAGGCTTGCAGGCTTTCATTTTCTCTCCTGTCGCTTTTGACCAGCCTGGGTCCTTGCTATTGAGGGGATGGCTCTTATGAGCAACATACTGGTGAATTGGGGGGCAGGGGTGCAAATTGTTAGTTTTGTTTTCTTGTTTTTGGTGTGAGTCTGCACACTTGAAAAGGCTTCTGAGACATTCCACCAAACGTCCTCCTGAGTGGCGTGGCCACCTTGCCCACACCGGCTGCAGCACGGAGACCTGTGCACACCTGCAGTGACTGCACCCCTCCGCGCCCCACGCCCTGGACACCCACCCTTGTCCTGCGTGCCCCTCTCGGCCACCTATAGTGACCCGGGTGTCCTCATCCAGTGTGTGGATGAGGTGGCGGGCGGCTGGGGCAAGCCAATCTCGCGCAAGACATGAGAATCAGCACCAGGCTCACTGGCCCTTGACTGGCCACGCTGAGGGGTGGACTTGGATTCTAGGCCCAAGAAGAAGTGGGTGAGGATGCAGCAAGCTCTCCTGGGCAGATGTGTAAATCTGGGGGTGCTGGGATTTGGGGATACTCAGAATTGAGGGGGAGGGAGGGCTGGACGTCTGGGGTGGAGGCTCTGAGGCTGACCTCGGATTCTGAGTCAGCCGGTCCAAAGTGCCATGCGGGTCCCTGGCCCTTGACGCCCTCCTGTACCCACAGCCTTTGACTGGAGCATGGAGAGGGGTCCTCCTAGGGCGCCCGCCCTGGGCTTGGGGCCCAGCTCTGCCATTTGACCCCAAGACTCCCAGCAGCAACAGGTCCAGTTTGCTGGCACACTGGTGGCCCATCTGCCTCCGTGAGAGCCCCCTAGAAGGTGGGAGAATGGGCGCCACCCCGACCCTCTTCCGGCCGCCCCCGGCACAGAACGCGGCTGCAGCGTCAGGGAGAGGTCAGAGGCCAAGGCGCTTCATGCTCCTTAGGCCACCTTAGGCCACATGCCATCTTATCAGCTTCTGGCCACCCTGCATCAAAGGGACAAAGGGTGTGTTTGTGAGAATGAGGAAGTCTGCTCCCGGCGGCCTGGGACCCAAGGCCAAGGTGGACTCAGTTAAGTTGATGGAGGAGGAGGGCTGTGGTGGCCCAGTCGGCTGCTAGACTCCTCAGGCCATCGGCCCCCACGTGCTGAGGTCAGCGCTGACCACAGACCCCGAGGGTACCTGGCAGAGACACTCCGCTACATAAAGCAAGTTGTAGGCAAGTCTGGAGGTGGGGGGGGGGTTCCAGCTGTTACACCTGGCTTGTGACTGGCACCCTGGCTTCCCATCTGGGGTCCCCTGACTCCTGACTAGGGGAAATGGAGCTTCACAAGCAGTTTCTGCGTGAAGGATGTTGCTGATGTCACTTAGGAAGGCCAAGAGCAAGGTTGACCAGTGACCCCACTGGGCTGGCCAGTGGCTCCCCTCTGCACACCGCCTGAATATCTGTTTATTTGGTAAATGGAGCGAGAGAGGCAGCTCCCAGAGCTGTTTTCCCCTCAAGCAACATGCGGCTTGACTCAATGGAACCAGCTTGTGCTACCTGCCTGCGCTTGGGACACAGCCAACCACCACCCCCCACTTAGCCTGAGAAACGGGGCATGTGCAGAGCTATCAGGGCTGCAAAGCCTGAGTTAAGATCACAGGCTCTTAGTGCCAGATGGCTTGGGGACTCCCCAAATGAAATTTAACAGGACATCCAAGGTTAGCAGCAGAGTGACTGGGAGACCAGAAGCCGCACGCCTCCCCCTGCCGCCTCACACAGCTGGGCCAGGTCAGAGTGCATCTGGGTGTGGATAAGACGCCAGAGTGGGGACCCTGCCAAAGGTCACAGGCAGGTATGTGTGGAGCAGCCGAGCAGAGCAGAACCCAGCCGTTAACCTTTCCAGGAGCGGGGTCACTGCACCCCAGCGGGACACCTGCCGGCCCAAGCAAGCCCAGTCTCCTGACAACCTCAGCCCTAAGCCTGGCCCAAGCCCCCCCCACCCCCGCCCAAGCTCCCTGTGCCCTCAGGGCCTGCTCTGCCCTTGGTCCTGCCTGCTCCAGCCCACCTTCCCCGGAGAGCCAGGTGGTCTCGCTCTGAGGGACTGGACACCGCTGCTCCCTGCAGGAGACCCCGACGTCTGGGCCTGGCATGCACCCCTGACCCTGTGCCCTCTGCAAACACCCAGTTGTGGGGCCTGTGCCCCCGACCCCGAGCAGCACACCAAGCCGCGTGGCACCTGGGACCCCGCCCCGCCCCACTCTGCCTCTGCAGCACCACCAGCTTTCTGCCGTCGCTCCGTCGCTCCTGCTCCCTCCCGAGAAAGAGCAGCTCTCCCCTCCTTTCACATGGCACCTGCGCTGGGCGCCCTTCGGCCACTGCAGTGAGTTGGTTTCCAAGCCTGTCACCCCTGCTGGGCTCGGTCCTCCCTGAGGCGAGCGGTCTCATTCCGCCTGTGTCACCAGGGTCCAGCCCGGGGCTGGACACAGAGGAGGCCGCAGCGACTGTCTGTCCACCAAGCGACTGACTGAAAACATTGCAACGCTTTATTTGTTTTTGGACAGAAGCACGTACTATTCCTTAAGTGCGTGGCAGCCCGAGAGCAGAGGCGTCCGTGAGGCCCAGCGGGAAGCGGCTGGCTGTGGACTGTGGTCCCGTAACTGGTCCCGTCTTCGGGGCTCCCGTCGCTGCCAGAGCCGGAGGGGCAGATGCTCCTCAGCCCTGCGAAGCAGAACATGTCAGAGTTCAGTCACGGCCCTGCGCTGCGGGAGCTGTGCGGCCGTGGGCTCGCAGGCTGCCCGAGGGCGCAGCTGTCTGGGCAACCTGGGACCAGACCTGCTCACCTCAGGGCGGCGTCCACTCAGCACAAGTTGCACAGCCGCTGGCACTGGGCCTCTGCTCCTCAGGCTCAGCCAATCTACGGTGGCCTCACTGGGGCCTCCCCTCTGCCCTCTTAGCCCTTCAGAGTTCTAAGTGAGGCCACTCGGAGCGGGGGGGGGGGGGGGGGGGGGGGGGGGGTTGGACGGGAGGGGAACCTGCTGGAGGTGCTGCCCACAGCGGCACTTCCTGGGGCTCAGAAGGCACCCCAGGGGCGCTGGGCTCCCCCAGGGTGTCTCCCACCCCAATTCTCAACCAGTATGACTCTCGTACCTGCTTCCTGTGCCGCCCGCCTGGGGCTAGTGGCCAGCAGGAGTCCTGCAACCCTCCTGTGGTTTCCGCCAGGAGCCCCGTGAGGAGGAGGCTGGCAGGTGGGCAGGGGGGTCTGCGGCGCTGGCCGCTCTCACGCAGGGGCAGAGGGGGCGACCGAGGCCCTCGGGGGCCGGGTGGGACACGCTTCGCGAGGTGCGAAACACGGCAACGCCGTGCAGGGGGAGCTGGCCGGCCTCTGCTGCTGCCAGTTGCTCCGTCTCCAATTTGGGTGTTAATAATGCCAGGGGTGGGGGCCGGGAGGAGGGAGTCAGGCCTGGCAGTGCCCCAGCGCCTCTCAGGCGTGCTGGAGCTGCGGAGAACACACTGGAGTTGAATGCAATCTGTCTTCCCTCATAATCACATCTTTGCCCCGGTGAAATGAAGATGTACTGGTGAGCTGTCTGTTGGGATGTAGTCTGCGGGGGGCTGGGGCTGGGGCCTGGGGAGGGACGGGGAGGACAGTCAGGGCAGGAGGGGTGGGGGCGACCGCTGCCGGGCAGCCAGGTAGCTGTAGCCCGGGTCTTGCCTGCAGTAAAGTGTGGGTTGAGCAGGGGCTCGGCGCAGCCTGTCCATCTGGGCGTGGTAGGTGCACGGGGCACTGTGAGGGCCAGCTGCTCCCGCTGGCCCCCAGGGCACGGCCAGGGCGGCTCCCGACTCCCTCGCCGACTGTGCGTTCAGCTTGGAAGGGCTCATGCCAGGAGGCCACGCCAGGCGTTGTGTCCACCTAATCCCAACCACGGGGGTCTGCTGGCCCTCTTTGCTGAGCAGACACCGGACAGCAGGGCTGGCGAGGGTGCCAGCCTTGACGGGTGGGTGCGAGCCAGGTAGAGTCACACTCCCGTGGTGCAAAGGTGAGGGGCTCTGGCGAGCATGGACCCGCCCCACAGGAGGAGAATTCCGCAGCTGGGCTGCGTGACCTCTGACCTCAGCCTGTCCCCACCAAAGCACCTTCTCTCCTGCTCTGACCCCAGACTTTCCATGGAAAGGAGGCCCATCCAGTGGCTCTTTCAGCCCACCTCAATCAACATGCCAGCCCTCTAGCCAGGTCAAGCCACGCGCCTCTGTGTGGAGGGTCAAGGGTCAGGGTGGGGGAGGGGTCAGGTCAGCCTGGATCTGGGCCTGGGAGGGGGGATGGAGTTGTCTAGAAGAGAAGCAGGAATTGGGAGGTGTGGGGGTATGGGAAGGTCAGGAAAGGTGGCCCTTGATAAGATGGTCTGATCAACCTCAAGAGGGTTGGGGCGGCAGGAGGGCCCAGGGAACACTGTGAGCCCCTCCCAGTTCCTAGAGGTTGGGCCCCAGCGTGCCTGGAGCAGTGGGGGACAGCAAGGCATCCCCAGCCTCTCCCCTCCTCAGGCAGACTGCCTGGCTCCCCTAGCTCCCTGCCCCAGAAGGCGCGTCCCCTTCCATGGGGCAGCCAGCTCTTCAGATGACCCCAAACGTGTCCAGGGAGCCTTCCCGTGTGTTCTCACCTCTGTAGGAAGTGGGTGGCACACGGGTGCCCTAACTAGGTGGCCAGCCCTCGGCTGCACCCAGCACTGTCGCCAGCCCCAGCCTCGAGGGCACAGACCACTGGGGCCCTTTTCCCAGCCCAAGTGCCCGCCCGGGGACAGCCAGGCCGAAGGCGCCCGTGGGGCTGAGGCCGAAGACCCAAGGTGAGGTCCGACTGCAGGCAGCGAGGAGCCCCACCCCCACCCAGAGCGGCTCACCTTGTGGGCCGCGGCGCTCACGCAGCGCTGGTAGGCCTTGACCAGGTCGGAGCACAGCAGCACCTCCTGCACGTGGGCTCGGTAGCAGCGGAGCAGCTGGGCCTGCAGGGCGGAGCACACGGGCTCCAGTCTGCGGGGCCTGCGGGGACAGAGGGGGGCTGGGCCCGCGGCTGCTCCAGGGGCGGGGCCGCGACCTGCTCCCCTGGCCCAGCCGCCCTGGGAGACCACCAGGGGCACTTGGGGGGGGCACTCGGGGGGCAAGCGCATGGGGGCGCTCCCAGGGCAGCAGATGCCAGAGGATCAGGGTTTGCTCTAAGGGCTTCGAGGGGGGCCAGCTGGGGGAACCCGCCAGCGGCACTCTGGCCTCCTTCCAGGCGCCTCCCTCCACGGAGCACGCTGGCTGGGGAGCGGTGCTCAGACAGTGCAGCTATCTGCTCACCCAGAGTTGTTTGTTCTGATTTATTATTCTAATCCATGAACAACAAGGGAAGCTACAGAAATGTCTGAAGAAGAAATAAAAATTTCCAAACCTTACTGCCTACAGATGACTACTGCAGTATATTGGGGGTGTTTTGCTGTTTTTTGTATACTCCTCTATCAAAGGACTTTTAGAACCCACAAAGAGGAATATGCTCTCTTTTAAGCATATGAAACAGGGCCCTCCCTGGTGGCGCGACGAGTTAAAGCACAGCACTGCGAAGCCGGCTACAGCCGCTTCAGGGTGAGTTCAGTCCCTCGCCGGGGTGACCCACATGGCACAGGAGACCTCTCCTGTCCCGCCTGCTGCAGTGGACTTCGTCAGTCGGCCTGTTCTGCTCCCCACTCTGGCTCTGGCGGTCTCCACACCGCCCCTGCACCTCTGGCCTACGCCCCAGTTCTGGATGCAGAAATAAATAAATCTTTAAAAAAGAAAAAGAAAAAGAATACGAAGCAACAGAAGTGAAATGATGCTCAAGGTGGCCGCCAGCATCTTCAGGCTCCTGACTGGACCCTCCTGCTGCCCCCTCTCCTCGCCTCTTCCACCCTCACACACACACTTTGACATACCCACCCACCTATCCCCCTTCACACCCACCTTGCACGTGCACACCTGCACACCCGCCCTCGTGCACACCCGCCCTCGTGCACACCCACCCTGGTGCACACCCACCTGCATGCACACTCCCACGCGTGCAGATCCACATGGGCCCTTTCTCATGCACACTCCTGCGCACATGCTTTCTGACACACGCTCACACGGATGGTCACGCTCACACACTCACACACACTCGTCCCAGAAGGGCACGCACGTGCACACAGGTGCACGCTCACACGGCAGTGCCCCCAGGCCAGGTGCACTCAGGCAGGCACCGCCGAGGCCACGGAACGGCAGCAGCCCGCCACGGCTGGCCTTTCAGCGCTGAAGCCACCCGTGGCTCGGGCATTCAAGTGGAGTGTAGAAATGCAGAAAACCGCTCCTCGAGTTCTCGGCGATGAAAGGCGTGCTATTATGCTTTCTGCAGCTCTGCTCCTGTCACACAGGGGGAAACTTGTAGGTCCATAATTCTCCTGGCCCAGTATCTCTATACTTAAAAAATCGAGCCACGCCATGGTTGCTGGAACGGAGCGGCACCATTATTATTTTAAGACAACTCAAACAAGCCGAGTTCGTCAGTTGGGAGCGGCAAGTAAGGGGGCCGTCTGCAGCTCGGGAAACGTGGTAGCAGGACGTAATTGCCTCACGTGCAGGTCTGCAGGGGGCACTTTCTGGGTGGCGGCACCAGCCCCTCGCTGCCAGGCCCGGGCTCTCTGCCCCGCCCCGGGGGCGGGCCGCCCCCTCTGGCCTGCTGTCTCACAAGCTCCTCTCTCCTCCCGCCGTGGCCAGACGTGGGTGATGCCCCCACCCGTCTCCCACAAGGGGAGTGAAACGGCGGTGTTTAGCTCAGCCAGAAAGACTCAGGGCCAGGTCTTGGCCATCGAAGGGGAGTAAACTGAAGACATGGGCGGGGTGGAGGGGACACGGCTCACAGCGGCCACGCCACACCGATGCTAAGGCCGAGATGCAGAGCGGAGGATGTGAAACGGCCATTCCCCGGAAAGGGGGGCAGAAGGGCCGCTAGGAGGCCACGTGGCCAGCTCCACCCGACAACGTGCGAGTCCCCCAGGTTCTGAGGACGGCGCGCTGCGGACAGGGAGACGGCGGGTCCTTTGATAGCCGGCCACTGAGGCCACGATTCCGACTCACGGCCACCCCATGTGGATGGCACCCTAGATACTGCTTCCTTCAGGGGGACACGGTGGGGGGCCTGTGCCCAGCACTAGCCTCCCTTCGTGGCGCCCAGGAGACAGAGGGCTCCGTGGATTCGGTCCTCTCCCCTGGGAGGCCGCCACTGGCTTCCAGGCGCCACTGCAAACTCCGGGGCAGCACAGGAACGGGAGCAGCAGGGTGGACGCCTGAGGCCACCGGTGTGTGCACATCGAGTTTGAGGCCTGTGTTCAATGTGTCCAGCTGTGGGCGTCCCGGGGGAGTCTACGGGAGGAGAGGGGCCTGCTGGGCGTCTCTCTCAGGCCGCCCTCCGCGTGCTCACTCCCTTCCATCGTCCCCCGCTCTCCTTCTGGCAGAACCTCGCTTCTTGCCCGCCACCCCAACTCGCTTCCCTCTTTGTTTTCCCCCTTGGGTGGGAGGGGGAGAGGGCCAGTCATGTCCCTTTCAGCATCCAGGCCTGCCCGTGCCAGGGGGACGCCTGGGAGGCCAGGCACTGGGGGGCCTGCTCCCTCAACACTGCCCTCCGCTGCACTCCCTCAGCAGGCGCTGACCTCTGCAGCAGAGTGCACCCTCCCTCTCCCCCCCAAGCAGCAATTGTCCCCCATGATCACATCTGCACCCCAGCAACTGTCCCTGGCTGCACTTCAGCGGCTGGCAGGCCCTCGCGGTACCTGCAGCTGGGTCGGGGGCTCAGGGCTGCTCTGAGCTCGACACAAGCTCGAAGATCACAGGTCTGTGTGGCAAACCTGGTCCACGACAACGGGTCAGAGGGCCTGGGCCGGCAGCCTGCCCAGTCACCGGGAGCCAACGCTGGCCCCCAGCTGCCCCCTCCGGCCCCCCACCCCACCCCAGGCTCTGGTAGTGTGTTAACGGGCTGCGCAGCCACTTTGCAGCCACTTCTTCCTCTCCCCGTTTGGTTTCTGGTCCCTGGCCCAGCGCCCCTGTGCATTTTGAGGGCAAATCTCACAGAACACCCAGTGCAGAAGAAACTGGGCCCCGGTGAAATCCATCCCTCTGCACCGGTATCGCTGGCTGCACAGGCCTCTCTCCTCTGGGATTTCCCAGGACACTGAGGAGACAGAACGGCAGGCAAATGTCAACTGGAAGAAATTTCACCCATTTGCCTGCAAACGGTTCTCAATGGGATAGGACGGCCGAGCACAGCTCTCCAAATAAAAAGCTTTCTCTGAAGCAAGGCAGGGCTGGGCCCGGGGTCAGCCCATTCAAGCAAGCTGGCGCATTCTACCCAGCCCGGCCCCGCCCAACCCGGTCCCTGGCAACCCTGTTTACACTGCATACAAAACAGCTCAAATTTTTAGAAACACTCAGTCTTGTGAACAGCTGCTCTTCAAACGCACAAAAATGTCTGCACAGCGAGCCGTGTACTTTCCAGGGATCGAGCTGAGTCCGCCTCCCCCCCGGGAGGGCCTTCGCCACCCACCCCCCACACCCAGCTACCTATTCAGATGGGGTGGCTGAGGGGTCACCGCCCCAAGTCTGAAGGCCTGCAGAGCAAGGCTCAGCGGGCTCACGCCACAGCCCTTACGTTCCTCTCCTGCCCGGGGGGCCCGGCTGCCCAGGCTGATGGAGTCGAGGCAGGCTGTGTGGCAAGATGCGTGCTGTGTCAGCGCCAGCAAGGTGGGGCGGGGAGGCTGGTGGAGGGGGGGGCCCGGTTACTGGTGGTGCTGGGAGGAGACAAGTGAGCCAGGAGGCCGGGACATGGGCTCCAGGTGCAGGCCTGAAGGTGGGATCCTGTCTGAACACGTCCCTCCCCACAGCCTGCTGAGTCCCGATGCAGCTCAAATCTCACCCCGCCTTCCCCCCCCCACCCCCCTGCGAGCAGGCCGAGCAGACTCCTGAGCTCATGCCCTGTGGGCCAGAGGGGAGAAGGGGCAGACCCAGGCTCAGGTTCTGGCTCCACCAGGTTCCACTGGGTCGGGTGCCAGGTTCCACTGGGTCGGGTCGACGAGGGAGGAGCAGCGTTGTGCCTCTGAGCTTCCCCGGGGCGAGGGGGGGGTGTGTGTGCGGGGGGGGGGGTGGTGGGGGAGGGGGAGACAGGTGAATGTGGTTCAACTGCTCCCACCCCTGTGCTCCAATAGGCCAGGGGGCTAGAGGCACACACGGGCAGGCCGCAGGGAACACCTGACCTTCAAGTACTGCCCTGTCCACTCAAAGCAACGGACCCGTGGCTGCCGGGCTGCAGGAGCGTGACGTGGAGGCTGGCAGCATGAACGCCGTGCCCGCGCTGGGCCTCCAGTACCACACACAGCCCCGTCCCCGCAAGCGCCGCCCCTAAAGCAGATCCCACCTCCCTGGCGGAGTAACACTGTCCTGCTGGGCGAGGCCACAGAGTGAGGTCAGGGAGGGCAAAGGAGTGACGTCAGGGGGTGGAAAGGAGAGCCAGGCGCTGCCTCCATTCTGGGCACCACACACTGACAGGGGGACGAGGACCCCGCGAGCCCCCCAGGCCAGCGGCTCACTGCTCTCCTCTCACCGCCAGGCCCCCAGCGGGTCCCCTCCCACCTCCAGGCCTGCCCACTGCCCACAGAGGCCTCCCTCTTTTACCTCTGCTGCGCAGAGCCCCAGGCCGCTCACCACCACTCCTGTCCGTCAGCGCTTCTCCCGCTGCTGTCCTCTATTCAGAAGTGGAGGCCACCATGGGACAGTCCCCGGAGCCCCTCACGCACGTTCCGCCTGCCACGCGCCCCGTCCAGCATGACCTCTGGGAGACTCGCCCTCCGGCTCGGGGAGCCTGCCGCCACCGGGGCTCCTGGGGCGGCTCCTGCAGCCATTCACCCCGGAGGGTGGCCTGAGTCATTCCAGAATCTCCCCTACTTTCTCCCTGGAGGTGAGCCCTTGCTTTCATTCTGGATGTTCCCCTCCTGCCGTCTAAC